GTATATAAATAATTCTTATTTGAATGTCAGAGGGTTGATCAGTAAATTTTGTAGATGATATGAAAATTGAGGTGGTGAATAGTGAAGGTAGCCTTGAATTACAGGAGGACCTAGGCTGATCATTGGCAACTGGAATTCAATCTAGATAAGTGTGCACTTGGGCAGGCCAAATGGACAAGAAATAAATGATGATCGGTAGGAACTTGGAGCAACAAGAATAAGGACTTTGGTGTGCACGTCCATTGGTTCCTACAGGTAGTGGGAGAAGTAGATAAAGTGGTTAAGGTGGCCTGTAGGATACTTACCTTTATTAGCTGAGGCATACAGTTGAGGAACAGTAAGATTGTGATGGAACTGCATAATTCATGGTTAGTCCACAGCTGGAGTATTTGTGCAGTCTTGGAATCTGTATTATAGGAGGGATGTGATTGCGCTAGAGAGACTAGTCTATCTAATCTCTCTTCATAAACTAGACAGTGGTGTTTTCCTTTGGAGTAGAGGCGACTGGGAGAAATGCTTGATGTGTAAAATTGAGGGGCATAGACAGGAAGAAACCTTTCCGGTTGGTGGAAGGATCAATGACCAGGGGGCTTACCTTTTTTAAAATGGTGTCTTTTTAAAAGTGGTTATTCTCCTTTTATCTACTTTGGCCATATGCCTCACGATTTTGAAAACTTGTTTCAAGTGTCCTTGGCCTTCTGTTTAAGGAAAATAACTCCTAAATTCTGATCTTTCTGTATAACTAAAGTTTCATCCCCCTCCCCCATTAATACCCTTTTTTATTGTATGCTGTCTTGCATTTCTATCACCTCACTTTTTTTTCCCCCCAATTTGTTGTCCTTTTTCTGAAGCTTCAGTTTACAAGGCTCTTGTTTAGTTGTCTTCAAACTTTGAAATTTACCCTGAATACCAAAATCTAGGTCAGTGAAAAGAGAGTCACAATACCTGCACAAGGGAGCTTCCACTATTTCATTTCATTTTAAAATACCATTTTAACTATTCCTGTGTAATCGCTCACTCATTTTGTAACCACATTGTGACTGTGTTCCTTTTTTCTCTTATTCCATTATCTGTAACTTTTCTTAAGTCCTTGTGGCACTTTGAATATCTTTTTGAAAGTCAATAATGTACTCCACATCAACAGTCTCAAAACTGACTACTGCTAGAGACACTAGATTAATAGTGCATGATGAAATGAGTGCTTCAAACTTTTTGTTTTCTTTTGTGTAGAAGAGCAACATTGTGTGGTACCCTGGACTATTTACCACCAGAGATGATTGAGGGGAAAATGCACGATGAAAAAGTTGACCTTTGGAGTCTAGGTGTTCTTTGTTATGAATTTTTAGTGGGTCACCCTCCATTTGAAGCAGCAGATCGTCAAGAAACCTTTCGGAGAATTTCTAAAGTAAGTGACCTGAATATTGCAGCCATTATTGGAGGTTGCTAATCTTTCAAGCTGAACCAAATGTCCTGAAGTAGTCCAGTTTGCTTTCAGCAGGGATATGTTTGCATCTAAATCTGTGTGCGCATACAAGGACTTGAAACTAAATTTAAAATTTTTAACTTTGTAGGATCTGAATCTAATAGAAAGATTAACTTCACACCTTTTGAGGTCCAGATGATCACCTTCTCAAAACATGGCACTATTTACTTCCCTGATGAGCAGAAAGAAGAGTTGCTAACTAATCCACTGACTGAACCAGGCACTTCATTCCTTCCCTGCAGCTTAAAATGATAGCTTGGAGGAAGATATTTATCCCTCCTTGTAGCCTTCTCCTAGATAGGATGAATGTTAGCAAAAGGACTTGCTGTGAGTATCCAGGTTGGTCCATCTGGCCGCATAAGAGTAGTGTTGGCTCTTATTAATCTTCTTCCTCTGAGACTCGAGATTTGCACAAATACCCACATCATTTTTGTGCCCAGCTACAAGCAAGCTATAATTAAGACCTTTGTCTTATCAGAATTTTGGATAGTATGAGAGGATAGAGAATTGAATTTCATAAATGAAAAATGTATTGAGGAAAATGTTGGGTGAAATACTGTTTACGAGAGACACAAGTGGCTGTAGTTACATATTATTGCTTAACTGTGCCTACATAATCTCTCTCAAAATATTTTGTGCTGTATCTTTTTCAGGTTGACCTTAAATTTCCATCCTCTGTAGTGGAGGGCGCAAAAGATCTAATCACTAGGTTGCTGAAGCATAACCCGAACCAACGGCTACCTTTGAAAGATGTGCTTGAACATTTTTGGGTAGTCAAGCACTCTGTTAAATCAGCCTCCCAAAAGAAGGAACCTGTGACACCATCTGATCCAAATCTGTAAACCAGGAAGGTGAAGGAAATGTATTGATTGAGACTTTGCAGTGCAATAACCATTTTCTGAGTGCCTGCAGCCACCATATTGTCTGGAGTGCTGGAATCTTGCTTCCTGTCAGCAGATGACGCGGGCTAATAGAGAATTGGTGAATTCTTAACTTACCTCTTTGTACTATATCAAAATCTGATTGTTTAGAATTCACAATTTGTTTCCACTAGTGAATGCATGCTGTAATGTTTTCACTTTTGAATAAAATAAACAAAACACAACCCAAATTGTGAATCTGAATTTCACAACTGCAAGCGCAATGTCGCTTTACGTATGGAATTAGAGCCACTCCAAGTTTTGTGCTAATAACTGAGTTGAATTTAAACTGTTGTATTTAAAAGTATTAATCTTAATGTAATATGATCTAACTTGGATTAGAGATCAGAAGGGCATTTGTGTTGCTGTTGCTTGCAGTGGTTCAGATGCTATGATTCTATTCCCTTGCACCTGGTTAAAATTGTGGTCTGTTCCTTGGACTGTGTAAATTGTATAAATTAATTACACTCCAGGTTGTACAAATACCTTTATTGATGTTTAGTAACTTCTGTGATGTCCTGTTCTGTCACTGTACTTGTGATAGTGAGGGAGGTAATCTTTAAACTGCATGTGTAAAATACTTTTTTAATGTTGTGCCAAAAAATGTCCAGGATTGGATCAATGATTAGATATACAGGAGTTTTGATTTGCATGCAGTTTATGGATCACCTATTTTGTGTATATCAATTTTCCAGTTAAATTTCTTCTAGTTAGAAGTATTCCTTAAAGCTATGATTACAATATCCATGAAGCTGATCTTGTCATACAATTAATAAACAAAACCTAACTTTTTTTGAAATCATATTTTCCTCTGGCCCCTTTTTTTTCTTCAGCAATTATACTATTGATCCCCTCTGGGGGTGTTTGCAGTATCTCAAGACCACTTTCTTTCAAACTGAATTGTGATAATCTGAAATGGGGACATACTTTTGTAATTCATGAGTTGAGATCAGGCAGCAGTGATGCTGGGGAAATGAATGCTAATAACAAGAATCTGTTGGAAGGCCCCTTTAAGTGCACTTGTGCTAGATGTAGCTTAATGTAATGAGCTCTGAGACATGATTGCTGACGGTAATAAGACTTGCAAATTCTTTTTCAGTGTACCTGTCCAACAATGGACCTTCCTGCCACAACCACCAGCAATTTTCATTTTCCTGTCCCAATTTGTTTTTAAAATGGAGGGTCTCCAGTGTGAACCATGTAAAAATGAGTTACTGGGGGAAGTTTAAGAATGGTGCCCAAAAATGGAACTTGCTCACTATCTTGGAATTGGTTAAGCTCAAATTTCCCCCAAATTCACTGCAATATTACATTAAGTGCAGAACAACATTCTTCTTTTAAACAAAAGATCATACCCCAAGTGAGAAATGTTGTTTAATTTGAAGTCTGATCTGGCCTGTGGTTTGCATATCAATGATAGTTAGTTCCATTGTTTGGAAATAAGATGTTATTGCTTTGCTTTTAACTAAAAGCAAATGCAAACTACAACAGTGCATTCAGAAATCCAATGCTTTGTCTGCAATTTCCACTCCCCTCTGGCATTGCAAAGACCACTTTTTGTTTTAACAACTATGAAAATGTGCATTGTTAGTTACAAGTTACTTGATGTAGAAAAAACCTAATTGGTATAGCAACTCCTTAATCATGCCATTTTTCATGGAAGCTTGTTTTAATCTCCATTTTCTCTCCATTGTTACAGCCAGTGTGTGACTTAAGTTAGTCTAGTGGACATCCCATCCTTGTCCTACGTGCATGCAAATTAAACAAACAATCTGCTGTAAAGATAACTAAAATACTACTGAATTAGTGACTCTTATGTTACTGAGATTAAGAATTCTTGAAGTTTGAATTCACTATTCCATAAAAGCCTATTGCTAGAGATCAGAATGATGTATTTTAAAAAAAAACTAACTTCTACATTTTTTTGATATCAAACACTAAACATTCAATTGGGGAGAACAGTACCATGGTTCCTGGCTTGACTGACAAATCAATGATATTGTGGTTGTTTTTTGTCTTATGGCCTTACCAGATTCAAGAAAAATATTCCAAGCATGACACCTGTTTCTCAAATTGAATAAATTGTTTTAAGATTATCTGTGGGATAACAGCAGTCTTAAAGATCTATTCCATTTTTATTCCATGGATAGCTTTGTCACTGCATCAGAAATATGACAAATCTACATCAATTCAAATGTGTTGTGTAGGGGGCCCACTAAAGGATGGGATGTCTTCAACTAGAACTTATTGTTCCTAATGTACAGTGCAGACATTTTAGCTTGGGTACAATGAAGTTTGACCAATTTAGAAGTTATATTGTATGCCTCCATCCTGTTGAGTTTTTGCATGGATTAGAAGCTGCTCCTGCTGAACTTATCACTATGCTGGTGACTTGCTTGGGTGACAAACAGTTCATCTTTCAAACCCTTTTGTTCAGAGTTTAGCTCCACAATACATTTCTTTAATGGAAAGACTGGGGATCTACATACTGTATACATCCATATCCAAGATAAATATATCTGCTTAATTCACAATCCTTTGACTGTGGATAAAGCTTTAATAGGATTGCAGGAGAAGGAAGAAAAGTAAGGAACTACCACTTTTTAAACAATTCTTTTATTAAATAACTTAAAACCAGCCTCTTGTTTCCAAGTTTCTACAATCTAGTTCATTCTCAATATAAACATTGACTGTACAATGGATGATTCATTTGCAAATTTCAAATAGTCATGGTTTGAAAATAAAATTAAGGCATGTAACAATTAAGTTTGATCTCAACCAATCTAAACAAAGCACTACATTATTCAACTTCCACTGGCAAATTAACTTGGTTTTTTAAAAAAAAACCAGTTACTGGAGTAGGAAAAAAAAAGATGTTAAAGCTCATCTGGTTAAATTTAATTGTTTGCCCATTTGCCTTAGTATTTAGCATACAAACTATTTACAGGTTAGCTATAGCTCAGTTCTGAAGGGTCTGGATACTTTTAAATGCATAGTTTTTTAAAAAACTTTGGTTCTACAAGGTATGTTTTCATGGTAGAACCAATGATATTCACAGTAGAGGTTACATTGTCAACATATGGCTTTAGGCCTAGCATGGTAAGGTTTTAAACTGTCCGTCACTTGTTCTAAATGCTTTATTCTGCAACAGTTTTAGTTTAATGCTGGTGAAGATTTGTTTATGCATCGTTACAGCAAGTGGCAAAATGAACTTATGCACTAGTAAAAGTCTTTGTTGGCATTTACTGTAGAATTTTCCTAAATGTTATGAACTTAAGCATGGGAGGATAAACCAAATAACCAACAATACTATTGTAAGTCAGTCCAAGAATTAAAGGTTTGCATGCAGTGAGCACCTGCAGTATTTGGTATTGGATTCTGGCAGAGTTTTTTTTTCTAGCTTTGGATCTGAAATCCTAAAGTGTGCATCTTTGATAAAATTGACAATAGCAATATAAAAATGTAAGCGGAGACCAGCTTCCACTGCCGTTCCCCCATTTGTGAAAGAATGCCACTTGAATGTATGCATTAGTAATGGAGTGAAGAGGAGAAATTTTACCAGATATTTGGTGAATAACCTACTGTTGGACTTTCCAATGTTCAGTACCCAGGATGGAGATATGTTAGAACCAACATGTACAAATCTTTTAAAAGAACCAGTCAGCAGAGTTTGCAAAGTCTGGTTTGAAAACAAATCTGGCTCTTGATTTGACTAAGATAGCGTTAAAAATTGAAATTGAGTGCATTCAAGTCTGGTTTGTGATTTATTTCCCAGTTTCAGGCTTTGGAACACTTGCCATTTAATGGAAACTTCTGAAGTTTCACTCAATGCCAAAATAAAATTCCAAATAAATCTCAGGAATATTACCACCTACCCATTTGAGCTTCGAGTCCTTAGTCATCACTTTTGTGTTTTCATATTAAACCTGGCAGAAGTTATGCAATTTTGCATTTTATCTACAACTGTTTTCCAATTTGAATTGTCTTCATGTTGGAGATGACTAAAACCTCAAGTACACAATGGGCTAACTAAAACTGCAGTTTTCCATCCTGCATTTCCCTACACGTTGAAGGCTGAAGGTCCAGTGTAGCTCAATGAAAATGTAACCAAGTAGAATAACCCTGAATCAAAACAATAAAGATGCACTGGGTCAGGAAAGCTAATTTTTTCAACAGCAAATTTTCTTTTGTCTACTAGTGAAGCTGTTTAGAAAGGAGCTTAGCACAGCTATTGTGGTTACATTAACAGAAGTAGGGGAGGGGGAAACATCAATATTTAAACTAAGTGGTAATTAGAATTGTCATTTTGCTAGCACACTGATCAAGTAATTTGGAGTCTGGATACTTTAAATGAAAATATCCCTCTAATCAAGCAGTGAAAATTAAATTCCAGTCTGGGGTCCTGTTGAATGAACCAGTATTTGAAAAAGGCAAAGTGTCAAACACATTCCAAGTATTTGTTTCAGTAATTATGAATCAAAGACAAGGCAGCAAGGTATTTAAGTTTCCCTTGGTCCCAATTCACCCTCATTGGAATAACATGTAAAATTATTGCTTATTGATTTTGTAATTTCACTTCCTCAGTGTTAATGAATGTGGTTGGTGCTACTGTTGCAGTTTTCAATTTTAAATTCTTTAACATTTCTGCTAGTTTAAACTGGATTCTCAAAACACTGGGTTTGGAAGATTACACTGGCAGGTAGTACATATCAAGTGGAGAGAAAAATCAATTCATTTGTCAACATTTAGTCTGCAATATTTTTACTCTACTGTATTAATCCTGTTATTGGCTGTAATAATTGAGCTAATATCAAATGTTTTGTTGCAGCTATCACTAATGAGTACAATACCAACAGAAGTGCCAAGATTGTTGAAAGTCGTCACCCCAGCAGACAGTTAATCTGCATGATGTTACTGTATAGGATTTTCAGAAGTGATCCCCTCATTTCTTAAATTAAAATTTGAAATATCATTAAAGGATTTTCATATTGGGGATAAACAGCTTGTTCACTCAACTATTTCTCCCTGCCAGTTTCCTATGTGTGCACACAACCAACTAAAATTGTTAGGTAACTTGTCCGGCCATTTTAAAGTCCAAATTTGTTGCTCTGCCAGAGCAATGAATATACATGTAGCAATACCTTCTACACTACCACCATACGTCAAGCATTGCTTAGGGAAATACAACTTAATTAAGTTGCATATAATGGGAAGCTTTGCACTTAAGTGAATTGAAAAAAGCTCAACTGACAATCATGATGTAATGCAGATTTAAATTGCTGTGAAATTAGCTGGAGTGAGTGTGTGTAAGTCAACTCAAGAATACCCCGTAGTATTCTTAACAGCATTACACAATAGCTTAGTCAAGTATCTGGTTTAAAGTTGTAACAGCACTTTTTTTTTTCCCCCTGTTGTTCCTCATTTTCCTTCTGTCATCAATTTGGCTGTATTCATTAAGTTTTAGATTGTCAGAACAGATTGATTACAATTGCCTCATGCAAATACATTTCCAATGGCTTTTGCCTTCCTGGCAACTGACACTTCAGCTACTGAAAGCTAGGCAACAGTTGCCTTTGTTTAAAATATCCTGCAGTGTTGATATTGAAGTTGAACAGAAGTGTCAAAGTTGAACAGCTAACAACAGCACAAGCTCATAGGTAACTATTGCCTAACAACTTAAGTACTGCATTTGTGGATTTTCAAAAAAGTAAAAACTGTCTAGGGGTCCTTACACCTACAATATTCAGATTCAAGTATTTCTTCATGGTTTAGAAGTAGATGCCTTAAAAAGCCCAATCTTACGAAAGTACCTTACTATAAATGGCACAGAAACTAAAGTAATGCTCATTCGTACTGGGGCGAAGACCTTATGAACAGCATATGCTAGTACAAAGGTACTGGTACCAGCTGCCATTCTGGACTGCACAACTGCTTCACTAAATCCCACCTTGTAAAGAAGTGCAGCCACATCCACACCACTGAAAAACAAAAAAAAAGCAAGGAATTAGTACATAATTCACTGAATTACATTAGGGTTAATTAGTCAATCCTAAAACTATTTTCATCACTTACCTCAACTGAAGGCCTTCAGTGTCCCTTAGGAACAGATTTAGTTAACAATGTACATGTCATAACTTGCATGACAAGCACTATCCTAACCAAGCTGAGTAAGTTATTAATATTGCACTAAGGAAGTAGACAAAATTTTAGTCTATTACCTCTACCTGTCCAGCAACAATTAGTGGATGTGAAAGCTGTTCCTGCAGGTTTTCATTTTTTCAGTCTTTTTGGTTTGGTATAACACTTTGATCCTTTTTATTTGTAAATCAAATCTAAAGCTGACAATGAAGGGAAAAATATTCTTGAAAACATTACATAATTAAAAGCAAAGCAGAGACAAAAAGTGGCAAAGTCTACAATCTTGGCACTTCTGTCTTTGCACCAACCAGCAGGAATAAAAGTATTAGTAGAGGAAAAAACTGCAGAGTAAAAGGTGGTAGGTCATTCACATAGCAAGAACTGCAGATGCTGGAGTCAGAGACAAGAATCAGAGTCAGAAAAGAAGGGTCCCAACTCAATGGCAACTTTCCTGCTCCTCTGATGCTGCCCTGGCCTGCGGTGTTCCTCCAGCTCCATACTGTGTTGTCACCAAGTAAAGGTGAAAGGATAAAGGAAGATGGGACAAAGGCTATCTGAAGAACAGTGGAAAATATACACTGAGGTTACAGCTGGCTGTTCCTTAAGGACAGTTGTACTTATGATATCAAATTTAATGAATAAAATCAAAGAACCTACCATCTCGTTTTTTAGAAGATTGGTGGTACAGTGGTAACAAGGGCTGGGTAAATACTTCAGGGCCACTGTTTAAGTCCCAAAGTAGAAGCTGATGAAATTTAAATTCAGGAAATAAATATGGAATAGAAACCTCATCTAAATGATTACTACGATTGTCATTGTTCTAAAAAATGATGATTTGCTAATTTCCTTTTTGTTATGGAAGGACATTCTTACCCAGCCCAATCTAAATGTTTTTCTGTTTTTATTGTTAACACTAGAGCTGCCATAGCAAATCACATAGTTTCATGCACAATTTATAACTGTAAAGCCAGGATTTATTGCCCATGACATTCACAGGCCATGAAAAAAAAATAACAACTAGGCTGGGGGGAAAAGAGGTTGATAATGCAACAAGCATTTATTTGTCCTAATAACCAAACTTTCTTAGTTTACCATCCCTGCATGCAGAGGAAAGCTTTACAGTAATTAAGGAACTGCAGTCCTGCTTTACCAATTTTTCTATGTAAAAAATTCTCTTAGAAGGTTGAGAGACCTTTCAATAAAAGAGGTATTCATAATCATAATGGGTATAATCATCATACTGTTGATGGAAAGGTCAAAAACCAAAAGGCATAGATTTGAGATGATTAGCAAATGGCGATTTGGTCCTGGGAGAACCTGGTCAGGATCTAGACTGTACTGCCTGTGGTGGAAGCTGAATTAATTCTGCCTCTCGAGAACTGGATCATTGGAAAATGACTGACTGCCATTAGCACCATATTTCAAAGCGAGAAGTGGCACAAGGTAAACTCTCCCTTCAAAAGGACTAGTGCAGATATGACAGATCTGATTACCTCTTAAAATGGAATGAACTAGTTGGAGAGATGAGGGCACATCTTCAGGGTCAAATGATGACCCTTTAGAACGGAGATGAGAAGGAATTTCTTCAGAAAGAGTGGTTAATCTAGGGGACTCCTTGCCGCAGACCACTGTGGAGGCCAAATCATTGAGTGTATTTAAGATAGAGGTAGATAGGTTCTTGATTAGTAAGGGGATCAAGGGTTACAGGGAGAAGACAGGAGAATGGGGCGGAGAAACATATCACCCATGAACAAATGCAGAGCAGACTCATAGGCCAAGTAGTCTGATATTGCTCCCATATCTTATGGTGGTAGTACATACTGAAATCAAGAAACCAAAAATATTTAATTTTGATTTAACGAAAATGAAGTATGTCTAGTTTAAGAAGCCATAGAAAATTAAAATGCTTAGTCATAAGTAAGCAGTCAGGTTGTTGATTTCAAGCTTTTGTCTGTGGCAGTTTCTTACTGAATATCACGCCACTTCTGATTATAGTACATCTTTTTATTTTCCCAACTTTATTTGCCAATCAAATATAATACAAAAATTAATCAAATATTTCCATGTTTCAGCCACCCAGTGTCAACATTGAAGAATTTCACATCAAACTAGTCAAATGTCTAACAACTCTAACAACTCTGCCCCTGCAAATGTTTCTGTGGTCCAACTTCAGCAGAACATCCCTCTTGTCTATTAGTGTGGTACTTACCATTTCCTACTCCATCTACCCCATGGTTCTAAAAAAAATACAAGCATAAATTTGTAACCAAGTGGTGTTTTGTTTTTTTTTTGTTCTCCCAATTTGAGAGGGAATAAAGGGAATGCAAATAAAATGTATCCAGTTGAAAAGATAAAAGATGAAAACTCGTTTGAGAAAGAAATGAGAATTATACCAGAACGCAAATTAAGCACAATGTTAATTTTTCACTGCCATATTCTGCATTATATGGCATAAACTTCTGAATACTGTCAGATTAATTATAAATTTGTAGACCATAGCAAATTGGCAAACTATTTACACCATAGGAACTGTCTGCAAATTAGTTTTGGATTATTTTTTGATAAAAACTTTTTTTTAAAACTTTTCTCCTGCTCCAGCATGTTGACAAAGGAATGACTGAATATTCTTACTGCTTTCAATTTTGGTGGTGACTTGCTTCAAGTACTTGTGCTTCTCAATTTCATAAATACTTCATGGTTTGTGCAACTCCTGGCAGTTGGTTCAGACCTGAACTACAGTATATGCTGACAAACAGGTTAGAAAGCCAACTATCCAGAAAATAAAACTTCAGGAAGAGGAAATTCATATCTGAAAAAAAACTTCACTTCAAAAAGGAAGCAGTAAGTTTTTCTATGCTGATACAAAGAAATAGGACATGCTCCTTGGCTCGATGCAACTCAGTACTCAACTTTAACTAGCAATAATTAGGTGGTTCCAGGTTAGAATGCAGTTACAAATAGAATAAAATTAGTCCTAGATTTTTCACGGTATCAAATTCTCAATCTGGTTTTGATAAATCAGCAGAAAATGTGCCTAAAAATAAAGATACTAAGCAGAAATCCCCCATGCAAAGGTTCCTTCTGAAGGGTGCTCAAGGTGATTTCCCTTTTGGTTTTGAGAACATTCCCCCAGAACTGAAAGGTCAATGATGAAATGAGACACACAACATCAAGGCAGCAGTTAACAGGATGGCATCAAAGAGGTCAACGAACATTGGAAGTCAGGGGGAAATGTAATTAGAGTCAAATCTAACACAAATGAAGATGATTGTGATGTGCAGGGAAATCATTTCCCCAGAACATCAGCGCAGGATGTCACTTCCTCAGAACGCTGTCTTAGGCTAGCCTCAGCTTCTTCATCAATTTCCTTCCTTCCATCATAAAGGTCAAAATGGGAATGTTCCCTCATGGTTGCATAATGTTCAGCTCAATTTGTAACTCCTCAGATGGGGCATGCACTGCTTCAGTAAGGCACCATACAGGCTCGGGCTGATAAGTTGCAAATAACATTTGCAGCACAGATATGTCAAGCAATGACCATCACCAATGAGAGAATCTAACTCCCTGCTTCTTACATTTAAAAACATTAGCATTGCTGGATCACCCACCATTGACCAGGACTGAACTGGACTAGTCACCCTAATATCATGGCTAGAAATCTGCAGCAAGTAACCCACTTCCTGATAAAGCCTACCCACCAGCTTCAAGGCACAAGCAGAAGTGTGGTGGCATCTTCTCAATTTGCCCATATTAGGGGAACTCCAACACTCAAAAATATCAACACAATCCGGGACAAGGCAGCCACGTGATTGGACTCCCCAACCACAACTTCTTCAGTGACACCAGTGTCCATACTATTTTAAAAAATGTCACGCAGCAATTTACCCAGGCATCTAGCATCATTCTGACTTGGGAGCAATGATACAGGAAGGCCTACGCCACAAGAGGCACATACTCACAATACAAGAGGCCCAATGGAACTTATTTTCCCTGCAATAAGTGGTAGGAAAATTAGAACCATCTCAGTAATTTTTGTGCATGCTCTTAACGACTTTCCAAGCAATTCCCTCCTGAGAGTCTGGGAGCAGACTGCCCACAAAACACAGGAAGATGGTGTAGAACACCAAAGCCCAAACAGGCTTGGCTATAAATAGACAAAGTACCCCAAACAAATTATTTTTGTTTTTGTCACTCTGAGGCTGAATTCTAATAAGAACGTCCAATTAAAATCTCATTAAACAAGCTAAAAACTAATTTCAAGTAACAAAATTACTATCAGGCAGAATAGAAATCCTTTTTCTTATGGTTGCAATTTGATCTCCGACAAAATAGGAGAATTCATGGTTTTCCAGAATATCTTGAAAAACAAGCCAAAAATGTGTTACCACAGAGATGGTCAGTTAGTTAGCTTGGAAAGACATGTGGAATTTTAATCAAATCAAAAATTGCAGCGATCAGCAAATCACGAAGTAGAAAATTAAAAGATATCAAGATTGAAATATTCCTCAAGCAGCTGCCACAATGATAAAAGGAATGGTATGAAGTGTGATTAATTAACTGCTCTGAAAAGAGCTGAGCTGACAGATCCAGAATGCACAGAATTGGTGGAGGCAGAGAATTCTACACTGTTGCAGTTTGAATGCAGAAATATAATGCATCATTATCTCAAGTAGGATGGGGAAGTGACACATCATCCCACCCCTCTGAAAACATACACAACGTTCTTGGATCACTCTTCAGGAAAACACTGAGAAGTCAACAGGAAGAAAATTCCAATTCTTCATTGAAAGAAAATAAGCAACTCAGGAAAAAAAAAGTGTTCCACAAAATGAACACATTCTTCGTAACAACAACTGCTGTTTGGTCTGACTAAAGTTAATGCTCTCGGCACTGAATGGCATTTTAAAACTATATTAAAATCAATACTGTTTTACAACAGTGTGTTTCAGTACAGGAAGAGAGACAAAGTCTAATTCTTAAAATGAATAAACTCATGTATATTTTTACTGAGTTTTTTTTATGTCAATCCTGATCTAGTTGAAGAAAGATTGAAGCTTAAATGGAGCATAAATGTTTCCATGTACCGCCTGGGTCAAATGACCTGTTTCTCTAACATATATTCTACGGCATTCTGTTTTCTTTTTAAATTTGTTCATGGGATGTGGACATTTACTGGCCATGCTCAATTACTCTAGCTGCCTTTTCAAATGCTGTAGTCATCTGGTGTAAATATATCCATAGCATTCAATATGCAATCATGACAAATCAGTAAATTACTTTTAAAATCAGCATTATTCAAGCAAACCTAGCCACTACATTACAAACAAGTTATCACAAAGTGTATTCAAGTCATTGATAAACTTGTTAGTCGCTGGTTTTTGATGTTGACTCAGGGAAACACTTTGGGAAAGAGGAGTTCACTCATTTGTGTGTGTTTTAAACACAGAGTTGGATGCTGTTAGTAGCTCAGGATGCAATAGCTAAATGGAAGTCACTCATGTTAAATTAGTTAATCTGAACTAGAAATTGCATGAGAAGTCTCCTGATTATGATCAAATGGAACCTGTTTTCATACGTCTATTACTTAGATAACAAGTGAGAATAGGATCAGACTAAACTGTAATGCCCTCCACATTTAAATATAAAGCCCTGCCAAGGCTTATACAGGGAGCGTAATACTTGAAAAAAAATGATATTACTTGACATCTGATGCCCATCTTACAGCCTTGTAGGAAATCAGTGCCTGAGGACAGGGTAGAAAAAGGGGGGGGAACTTTGGAGAAACAATAAACACTTTATAATCACATTGCTAGAAATGCTCACTCATTACAGTTTAAAATGGATCCTTTACAAGACTAACCTTGAAACCACCAGATAAAATATTCCAAGTGAGGTCAGTGATATTCCAACGTGAAATACAACCCCCACAGCTCCATATTCTTTGAAGACTTGTTTCAGCTGCTGGGACTTGGTGAGTTTTTTACTATCACTGCTATTAAATCTTCTGACTTCTTTCCTAGTTGTTCCATCTCCACTCTCACTCTGAGGAGGCACAAAGAGGAAGGTTATTGATAATGCTTAAAAGCAAAAGAAACAGCAAGACAGATCTTATACAAACCGAAAGAACAGTGAATGCTGGAAATCAAAAATAAAAAACAAAAAAATTACTGGAAAAGTTCAGCAGGTCTGGCAGCATCTGTGGAGAGGAATCAGAGTTAACGTTTCAGGTTCAGTGACCCTTCCTCAGAACTGATGGTAGCTAGGAAAATGTTTATGCTGAAGGTAGGGGTAGGAGTAAACAATAGGTGGAGACATCCTTTGTGCCCACCTGAAAAGACAGATTGGAGTCTCGCATTAATGTCTCCATCAAAAGGACGTATGGTAATGTAGAAGTCCCCCAGGAATGCACTCAAAATAAGTACTGGAGTGGGACAGACAAAGGAGTGGATAACGATAAGGCTGGAGGGTAAATAGCTATTAAATGGGGACCTTTAGCGGCTAACGATGGATTGTGTGTAATAGCAGACCACATGATAACAAGGCCTGGTGTGTTGGGCTAGGAATAAGGACATGGGACAGCTCTAGCCCTATAAAGTTGATGAACTGAGTCCAGAAGGCTGTAGAGTTCCCAAGCAAAAAATAAGATACTGTTCTTCCAGCTTGAGCTTCGCTGGAGCACTGCAGCAAGCCTGAGACAGAGATGTTGGCCAGGGTACAAGGTAGTGTATTGAAGCGGCAGGCAACTGGAAGCTCATGGTCCTTTTTGCAGACAGAAAGTAGGTGACTGTTTCGTAGAACACCCAGTCTGTACTTTGTTTCCCCAGTGTAGAAGAGCAGCAAATCCAGTCAACTAGATTGTGTGAAGTGTGAAGATAAAGCCTTGTTTCACCTGGAAGGGGTGATTGGGCCCTTGGATCCTGAGGAGGAAGGGAGTGAACAGACAGATATTACACCTGCTGTGGTGGGAGGGTAGGTGCCGTGAGGCTGTGTTGGTATCTTTTATTCAGCAGCATCTAAGGTATGTAGCACACAAACAAATGATCATGCAAGAGTGTCAACTTGCTTCAAGGAAAAGAAAAAGCTGATGAAAGGCAATCAATTCATTATCTTTAGGGAATGAAGAAAAAAGACTGGCATCTTTCATGACCACTAGATGGCTCAAACTACTTCATAGTTCTTGAAGTCTTTTTGAAGGGTTGTCAAGTTATAAGTGTAAAATGTGCAACAGCTAATTTCCATCCAGCAAAACCACAGAAACAACTACATGATAACTGGATTTTTCTTTGCGATGTTGATTGAGAAAGAAGTATTAGCAAGGACAAAGGCATAACTCTTCTAAACATCTTTAGAGTGTCTGGGCACCTCTTACGCCCACCTGAAAAGGACAGATTGGAGCCTCATATTAATGTCTCAATTGAAGGACTTATGGAAAATGTAGCACACCCCCAGGAATGCATTCAAAGTAAGTACTGGAGTGGGACTTGAACACAAAAAAAAACTGTGACGCAGGCATCAGCAAGTTGCTAACTCAGTTATGGCCAATTACAGAAGGGTCACAGCAAAAATAATGTGATCTTTTTTCTTTAAATGCTTGAATGAATTACTCGGGCAGAGGGAAATCTTTATTTTCAATTCTTGTTTGTGTATTACTCATTTTAAAAAAATCCCTCCAAAACTGGAAGATCACCTGTTGTACAAATGCACAAGAAATAATGGGAACTGGACCAAAAACTCTTTTTCAATTTGTAAGAGTTTCTTTTTGACCGAAATATTCTGACTATGCAAATAATGAAGATGCACAAGTTCAGTCGCTAATCATTAGGCAAGACAAAAAAGAATGCTAGAAATATAGAAAATATGATGCAAAAACACAGATCAGTATATGCCGACAAACTGAAAGAATGCAAAAACACTTCACGCAGATCCTGAAGCACCATCTATGAAACTTTATGATGTGTGTTGTTCCACCGCAGAGGCTAGCATGCTATATATTGCCAGCATTCACCAACTGTATGATGTATATCCTCGTATTTACATTTATTTTACCCAGGTGCATGAACGGAGTGTGTGGGTGTGTGTGAGAAAGTGTGTGTGGTGTGTGACAGATGACCAATGCTGGAACCTCGTGATATTTGCCACCTCAGTGTTATTGTTGCTTGAGGGGGTAGTTGGTCGTCACCAAGGTTGTCTCCTTTGTCACGGACCTCTCTGATGATTAGCTGTAGTAATAGTTCACCACCACCTCCCCTGGGCAAATAAGGATGGGCAATAAATGCTGGCCTAGCATCTGGTCTGTCATAATGATTAGGACCTTAGGGGTTATCACTCCATGAACATGAGTACAACTTATTTCCACCCACAGAGAGACATCAGTGGAATGAATAGATCTAATCTGATTCTATAATTTAACACGAACATTTACCCCTTCAGAACCATTATTTTATGCACACTTGCAATAATTGATCTAAAAATAAAAGTAGAGAATTGAATTTAATTGAAAGAATTTTTAAAATTGGCCACAAAATATTGGTCTTCAGATAGAATACTGCAACTTGCTGTGATCTCTTCTGCCACTTGATGAAAAATGAATGTAAACAGGACAGCATCAGCAACATAAACAATGAATGCTGGAAACATGCAGCAGGTGAGACAGCATCTCTGGAAAGACAGGAGGAGGAAAAAAAAAACAGCCTCCTGCAAGACCTGCCTGAGGTGCTGCACTGTTGTTTCTATTTGTAGGTGCAGGCTGATCAGCTGCAAGGCCTGAAACATTCCCCGCCCAGCTCCAGATTGTAAATTAGACGGCGGGTGCACGCTAACAAATGGCAATCACGGGCCAAAACTGCTCAGAGGAAAACATACATATTCCTATCACCAGGATCAAACTAAAGTGATAAGGCTTAACAATCACCAACTTGAAAAATCACAAAGTAAAGAGACTTCAAAAAATCCAGCAGCTCTTACAGGATCCCATTATATAAAATGCTCCTTGTGGAAGCATTTAAGAATCCTTCTTTAAAAGAGAATTGAATTTCGCAACAACTTGCAATTATACAGCAGCTGGAATATAAAAGGCCCAAGGCACATCAGAATTGAAACAGGTAACGAACTGCAGCAGAAGTGCCAAATCAAAAGGCAGGGTTGAAAAGCGTAGGTTTCACTTCATCAATATATGCTTTAAGAAAACATACAACAACTGAAAGCGAGATAGTTTTAACCACTGAGACCTGACTAACATAGCCACCACCATCAGGTCATTTGTAGGAATGTCACATATCAATTACCATCTTGGCTCCAGCCAATGCAGCTATGTTGAAAGCAAACTGCCTGTCTGCAATCTTACAGTACAAAGGAAGCCCTTTTGGGAAGACATTCTATCCTGCTGCATCATAAGGCTTCACAGGAATGTGAATAAAGCAGGCATTTTAGCTGCCTGCCAATTAAATTAAAAATGAGCACAAGTTTAATGCAGCAGACAGATTTGGGAGAGTACGGAGGTCAGGTCATTTGCAACACCAGAGAGATTAATGATACCCTGAACCATTTCTGTTAAACTAGGTTAACACAATGGATGGAGATTAGTAATTTTATTCAGAAACACACTAGCCTGGGGGTGATAGAACACAGAATTTTTCTATAAATAAATGGTACTAGAAAGTAGTCAAATGTGCACATAAATACACCTGGAAGCAGATGGGCTGCCAGTATAATTTCTTTTACAAAAAGCAGCGAGTGACAACAGATTTTGGGTTGAAAGGTGAAACAGATCACTGCTATGCTAATAGTTCACAGAACCCACCCTATTTATGGACCATAAACATCAACTTGTATTTAAACAAAATTATAACCTGTTATTTATTGGCATCCATTACACAAAAATATTGAAAAAAAGATTATTCCTTACACCTTGAGAACACAGTTAGTGTAATTTAGTTAATAATGGTAATTATTGAAGATATTTAGTATTTATTATATTGTTGGTTAGAAAATTTTTAATTAATTTATCGCTAAGTCTCAACTAAAATAGCATAAGTGGACACTGCACCCAAATCTTCTCAACAAACCCCAATGGGTGGCTCACACTTTCCTTCGGACATATTTAACACTCTGGTCTAGTGGTGCACTGGGGCAAACAATGACATTGTTCTGGACCGTAAAATTTGCAGCCTTAAAAACCTTTACATCATTTTGATCTATTCATCTTCATAGAAGATTGAAAAAGAAAGAGTCTCTCAGACAAGGGCTGTTTACAACAATTATTTTTATTATGCTGGCTAGCAAATTTCTGTGTGAGGATGCTAATTCCATCCATAGCCTATTAACTGACCACTGGTCAATGGTATTCACCAAACACTTTTTTTTGGATAGGAGAGATTATAATCATCAGGCTCAGTAACTGCATTGTCCTCTATCCCTCAATCAACATCACAAAAAGGGACAGATTTTCTGGTCACTATCACATTGCTGACAGTTTTCTGTATATGGGAGTTTACTTTGCGCAAATTGGCTGTCATATTTCCTGCATTATGACAGGTGTCTACACTTAAGAATGAGGAAGAGAATAACATTGTAAAACAATGCTGAACTTTACCACAACTAGTAACAACACTTCCTCACTCAGTGGCTCAACAGGGCCGGTGACTATAAATAAACACCTAAACTTCCAGGGGTCTCCTCAGCTAACTTTATTTTCAGTGACCCAGAGAGATATTTCTGATATACAACTTGTTAAAGACAATTTTCATACTGCACCTCCCTGTTCTATATGCACCTTAAACTGTTCAAATCATCCCTTGTAAAATTCATTCTGCTAGAACCTTTGCAATATAAAAATAATCCACAAGATGCACACACCAGTTCCAAAGACTAATATTTTATATTGGCACATGTTTACTGAAAGTGTGCTTTTTAAATTGCCAAGATAATGAATTCAATTACCGTAAAAATTGGAAAGAATAAAAAAAAACTTACCCTCTCCGCTATCTTCATGGATTCTCAAACTGGCTGAATCCTTGTTTAGAATATAATTTGCAAAAGTAATGATTTTTTTAAAAAAAAAATACAGTTTCTCCCAAAT